ATGAAAACTAATTATTCGATTAATGAAACAAATTAAATTAATTTCAGTGGCTAATGATTAATTAATTTAAAGATTAGTTTATTTCAAAGGCTTTGAGGGCAAACCAAATTTCTGGGGGTCGGAGAGGAAGTCCATTTTCATGTCAAAGGCATTAGCAGTGACAAAAACATCTGAACCAAGTTGGGTGTTGAGTCCTTGAACCATCTGGACCAGCTGTGGGTTGAAGATCGCTGCCGCCCTTTGTAATTCTGGATCGCACTCACCGTTTTGGCTTCTGGCCAGCTCAGATGGAACGCAACCCAATGGGCCGGTACCCGTCACCAACACTCTTCGGGCTCCTAATTCATATAGGTTCTGCAAACAATTAGATTAACACACAAATTAGATTCCAAGATATACGATGGTCACTCACGCAAATTGTTGATGTACATTGAACCCACAATTAGTCAACATATAGATTTTGCTATGTGGCACATAGTACGAGGGATGGTATGACACTGTACGAATTGGCGATTCTTGACCATTGACGTATGCATGCCACAATGTATCAACGGTCAAATTTCGTTTGCACGTGTGAGGGCTAATACTAGTAAAATTCATAAGTTTTAAATTCTTTACCAAGAGAATTTTGCGGAACTCAGTGATAAGGTAACGAGAGAATTCAGGGACGGAATATTGGCGTGACCTTTGGGAGATAGGTGCCAAGAAATAGTTGTTAACAAAGTCATCGACACTGACTCATGTACTAATTGGCGATTCTTGACCATTGACGTATGCATGCCACAATGTATCAACGGTCAAATTTCGCTTGCACGTGTGAGGGCTAATACTAGTAAAATTCATAAGTTTTAAATTCTTTATCAAGAGAATTTTGCGGAACTCAGTGATAAGGTAACGAGAGAATTCATGGACGGAATATTGGCGTGACCTTTGGGAGATAGGTGCCAAGAAATAGTTGTTAACAAAGTCATTGCCACCAAGGGTCATGAGGTAAAGTGCGCCGTTCACTAGCCTTGTTGCCTGTGGTGCTCCGACAAGCGCCGTGAGCCGTTGTTGGTATTGTTGGAAAAGTTGAAACTGCCTAAAGATCCTTATTACGGTAATCTGCAGGATTAAATCAACTAATTATTCAATTAGGTTTTTCATTTAAGGGTTAATTAGGGTTTTTCATAAAATTTATGGTACCAGAAAGTACTAATTAGGCAACGTGGCGTGATAATGTTCATGTGTTAAAAAGTATAATTTGGACTTACAAATTGAATCCCAGTATCATTGAGGATTCCGATTCCTGCAGAAGCAAAATTTGCTCCAATAAGTAGATTTTGTCCTGTGAGCTCGGGGCTCAAATATGGGAGCACGCGTTCAGATCCTATTTCCTCACCTATGTATACATACATTCACACATGTCACATAATTAAATTTATGTGTTACTATATGAAAGTGAAGTGAGGGATATTATATAGTAATAATGAAATTCTAGTTAGTTAGCTAGCTAATTAAGATGGTGATGGTGATGGTGATGGTGATAGTACTGATAATGTCGGGGAGGTTTAAGCCGTTGGAGAAGCGGCCGGTGGGGCGGTGGGTAGGAAAATCGATGCCATAGGGAGGAGAGTCGGCACGGGCGGTGGTTGCTAGGTAGTTGTTGTTGCCACTGTCGACCAGTGAGTCCCCAAAGACAAAGAAAGCACGAGCTGCCTCGGCTTGAGGTGCAAGCTCTAAAACTGCGCCCATCGCCACAATGAGAATTAAGACCCTCATGCTGCTAGAAGTTGACATGAAAACTAATGCAGGCTTGCTCTCTTTAGCTTTACTTATTTGTCTTCAGTTAAGAGTTGAAGTTTTATAGAGTTCCTGTTGTGACTTGGGAGAGCATTTTAGGTAGGTAGGACAATGAGAAAAAGCAAATGCTGAAGAGAAAACAAGTCAAATCATATATGATAAATATGAAATAGATCGATCGAGGTTTTTGAGCTGCATTATGCATGAAATCATCAAAATAAAAACAGAAAATTGTGTTCTTTTGTGAGGGAAAAGCAGTAATTAACATTAACAAGTCAAATCATATATGATAAATATGAAAGAGATCGATCGAGGTTTGAGCTGCATTATGCATGAAATCATCAAAATAAAAACAGAAAATTGTGTTCTTTTGTGAGGGAAAAGCAGTAATTAACATGAATTTTAATGCAAAATAAGGTATAATTAGAGGCTGAGAAAGGTGGGAATAAGTCGTTTTCAGTAATTTTAATATTCCAACGTAACTGTCACACTTGTTCTTGTTCTTTCGTTGGTTCGCAATTGTAGATCACTCACTTAGCTTAGACTGCTAGCTAGCCACCCAGCTTGGTCATTAATTAATTAAATATCCATGCAGCTGGGCGCCATGTGAAAAACATAAATGGGTTGGCTTGGAGTAGCTGAAATCTCTCTCTCTCTCTCTCTCTCTCTCTCTCTCTCTCTCTCTCTCTCTCTCTCTCTCTCTCTCTCTCTCTCTCTCTCTCTCTCTCTCTCTCTCTCTCTCTCTCTCTCTCTCTCTCTCTCTCTCTCTCTCTCTCTCTCTCTCTCTCTCTCTCTCTCTCTCTCTCTCTCTCTCTCTCTCTCTCTCTCTCTCTCTCTCTCTCTCTCTCTCTCTCTCTCTCTCTCTCTCTCTCTCTCTCTCTCTCTCTCTCTCTCTCTCTCTCTCTCTCTCTCTCTCTCTCTCTCTCTCTCTCTCTCTCTCTCTCTCTCTCTCTCTCTCTCTCTCTCTCTCTCTCTCTCTCTCTCTCTCTCTCTCTCTCTCTCTCTCTCTCTCTCTCTCTCTCTCTCTCTCTCTCTCTCTCTCTCTCTTTGTGCAAAGAGTTGGGGAGCTAGGGTTCTGTTTATTTGCACGAACAAGTCAATATATATCTATAGGGATCTAGTAATTGATGTTGTTAACATGGAGTGATGAGTTGTTGTAAAACCAAAGAAACCGGCTATTAATAACATAAACCATGTTTTCTTTTCTTATCGACAATCGAAAGGTACACAGAAACAAACTATTACAAGAACATCCATGCTCAGCCTCATATTATAAGTACCTTTATTTATATGTATGTTGTTCTTGTTTTTTTTTTTGGGTTACTTAAAAAAAAAAAACATTTATTGATTTTTTATAGTCAAACAAAGGCCACTGGTTAAGTGTTCGGCCACGTTAATCCCAACTTATTTTCAGGCCATTAAATTCCTCTGTCGACATATGTACATTATGAGATATTCACATTATCTTCTTCGTTCCAAAGTAATTTGACAAGATATTTTTCAATTGTGGATTTTTTATTATTTTTTTAAAAAACACCAACAACTTTTGGAGTTATGGCCCAGTCCAGCTTATATAATTTTTTATAAAGAAAATAGAGATTAAGCCAAGTGTAATGGACCAGGGGCGGACGGATTAAGGGACAAAAGGGGTCGCTTGACCCCACGAACTGGCTGGAAAAATGGCTATGGACAGCTTGTGGAGGTCTGAGTAGACCCCATGGCAAGCAGAACGACGACCCCAAGAGATGCACGCAAAGTGCTTGACGGAAGGCCACCGCGACGAAAGGCCACAGAGGTTGTATTGTTTGCTGCTGGTGAGACCCTGAATATTACCTTAGATTGTTGGGATCGATCTCACGATCATGTAGGAGAAAACGGTTCATCAATCGGAGCCCCACAACCAAAGTTATGAATTTTAGAAGTTTTTAAGAGCTTTTAGAATTGAAGTTGCAGAGCTCTCCGAAGAAGAAGAAGAAGAAAGACACAGCATGTTTGGGTTGTAATCCAGCGCTTCTCATTTTAATTCCTTTTTGAAATGATGCATTAACAAGGCGCCACATGTCAATTTTTAATTGAACTAACATCATAAATTCATTAAAAAGTCATATGTGTTCTAAAAAATTCATCGAAAATTATCCCAAACTTGTAATCACGTCTACTTTTATGTCGTGACTTCTAAATCACATGTACTTTTGGTTAGATTAATTGTGTAATTGACATGGATTTTGTTCATATTTGATAAGAATTTTGATAGACTAATTGTATAATTGTAAAACTCTTATTGATATTTTTTTAAATTGATATTGTTATATTGTTATATTTTCTTTTTTTTCCTTCTTTCTTTTTTCTTTCTATTTAAGTGGGTTGACGTGCAAAGGCAGAAAACATAAGTGTGTAGCTCGATAGAAAACATAGGTTTTAATTATGAATGATATTAATATTATTTAAATTTCAAGGGTATTTAGTTGTTTTGTTTTTCAAACCTTTAGCCTTTTAAAATTGTCCCTCTTTTGAAAAATTCATGGAAATTATCAAGAGGAAATTCTCTACAAAAACATTAGGAAAATTTAATATTTTAAGCTTTAAAATTGTTGTTTTTTTAATTTTTTAAAATTAATGTAGTTCCATGTTTCCTCTTCTTTTTTTTTTCTTCTTTTTTAATGTGAAATAAATAAATATTTTATTTTTTAAAAATAATTGGATTGAAAATGATTCATTTGTCCTAAAAATACATCAACAGTTTAGCCTAAAAAAACTTCGACATTGTTTACACTGTGACCCTATGACCCGAGAATCTTGGATCCGCCACTGTAATGGACCCAATTCTAAAGAAAACCAATGACTTCTATTATTTCTTGTTCACACTTATCTAATTTAATATTTTCTCTCATGATGTTTATTGTACAAAAAGTTGCGTTTGATGTATTTATAAGGTCATGTGGATGTTACTTCCCCATATTCAAAAATTAAATTCAAATTCGTACTCAAACCCCATTTAAATTTTTACTCGAAGAAGATTCGTATTTGTGATATTTAACTTTTTTTTATATTAAAAAATGGTTAAGTTTTATTTATTTTTACTAAATATATCTTGTTAAGTTATCAATATATGCGTGTGTGAATGATTGTCGGCCGTGATTTTTTCCGGGAAGAGAAGACACAAACACATTCTGGCAGGTGGTGAATTTCAGAAGCACATTACAGTTGGTACATTTCTACAACGCATTTTGAAAGTTGGTGAATTTTTTAGGTTTAGGGCCTTTTTGAAGGCCCTGAACTCAAAATCCCTTGTCAAAAATCAGTTACTGCACGGGAAAGAAAAAACAGGAAACAGAGACAAAAAACAAACCGCAAAGCAAATACGCGAAGGAAAGCACCCAATTTGCCACATTCTCCACCTCCCACTGAGCGCGCGCCATAGCTGATTAGGGTTAGGGTTTTCAGCTCTAAATTCATCTCCTCCAGAGAACCAAGAATGCGTCGTCCCACGTGCTGCCACATATCCCTAGCTTTCGTGCTCAAATTCCTCAACTTTCTTCAAGCTTTCATCGGAGTTTCAATCTTAGTCTACTCGGCATGGATGCTCAACCAGTGGAACAATAACATTCCGATAGTCCCACAACCTTCAGCTCCTTCGCCAGATTCTTCGTCTTTCTCCTCCCTCTTGTTGAGCTCCGAAACGGCCAAGACTTCTGATCAGATCACCCCGTTGAATTTTGCTGTCCATTTGGTCTCTGGGTTCGACGAGGAATTGGGATTGAATTCATTGAAGCTTCCCGCGCCTTGGTAATTTCAAATTTCCTAACTTTATTTATATATATACAACTATGTGTCATGTTTGATTTTGGATCAAGTTTTTTTTTTTTGTTTTTGTTCTTGTTCTTTGAGCTGGGTACCTGAAAGAAGTTGGTTTCAGGGTTTTGATTTTGATTCAGTAATTATGAATTTGGGGATTCTTTTGGGCTGTGGGCAATTGGGGTCTTGAATTTTCGTTGATTAGATAACATTAAATGCTCATGTATCACGTTTGGTTGAAGGCAAGTTTCTAGAGGGAGCCCTCAGATTGATATTCATTTGATGCTTTTCTTGATGGCAGGTTTATCTACTGTTTTATGGGATTGGGCGTTTTGATCTGTTGCATTACTTTCATAGGTTGTATTGCAGCTGAAGCAATTAATGGCTGCTGCCTGTGTTTTGTATCCTTAGCCTATACATATTGCACTATTTTCAGCTGAGAAACTATTCTGTTTTCTTTGCTATAACTTTTAAATTCTTTGATTAATCTTTTTAGACCCTTGAAATGACAAGTTCATAATTTGTGAATGCTCAGTTTGGTTGCTTATTAGAAGTATTAAGCTAACAAAGGGAAGAAACTAGAGTAATAGTGTTCATTTTACAAGTCCCCTGAAAACAAAAGGCTTCAGCTTAACTTTGTCATTCCCCCATTTTCTCTGGTTGGAAAATTGTGTATCTTAGAAACTAGATGACTAGTTTCCACTGCGTATACTAGGGTCCAGACAAAGTGGTGGGGGATTTGAATATACTTCATAATAAGAAGCTTTACCACAAGCACTAAACTAAATGGTTTTGAGGCATTGAACTAGATGCAAAGTTTCACAACAATTTTTTATACGTCATGCAAGTTGAGTTGACTGAACGTGATTTTCAATCCACAGTTTCTGCATTACATTCTGTGCCCTATATTTTTCTTAACTGTTCAAACAATTCAGTACACAATACTTATAACAGTACTCGCTCTACTAGAAGCAGCTTTGGTGGCATTCATTGCAATTGATCATCGTTGGGAAAAGGTGCTTTTCTATAAAGAAAAATAAACTCAGTTATACATGTGCGTGGGATTTCATCCTTCGTTTTAGCCAATCAAAGTAATATGTTTCTTCATACCTCTACAGGATCTTCCATTTGACCCAACTGGTGAACTTGACAGTCTTCGATCTTTTGTCCAAGATAATATTGACATCTGTAGGTGGGCTGGGCTCGCTGTCATCGTATTACAGGTATCCTGTAGCCCATTAACGTTTATTGTTCTCTTTATAATTGCATAGGATTAAGATCAATTTCCCTCTTCCATTTACATAAGATCTTCAGAATTTGGACCTTTAGATGAAAGCACATTGAATGGCAAAGACTGACTAAGACTACCTTCAGTGACAGCTTTTCAACAGTTTCTCAAAAATATTCTCCCATATGTCATATGTCATAGCTTACAAATTGTGTCAAATTGACTTGAACCAATTACATAACTCCTAATTGTATGTGATTTAGAGATGCTTTATAGTTATGTTTCATCGGAGAAGATGACTATTGTGAACAACTTTTTCCGGTGCAGATGTCCAATTTTTGCTTTCCAGGATCTGTTTAATTTTGTTTTTTGTTTCGAAAAGTACGGACAGCATTTAGCATTTCTATTGATGTTTATGGAATCTGGTGATTGTGTTCTTATACTCATCTTTCTTGAAACGTCAGGCTTTATCTCTACTACTAGCAATGGTTCTGCGAGGCATGGTTTCTACTCGCAAAGCTGACTATGACGTTGAAGATGATTATGATTTTAGGGGTAGAACTAGGGAGCCATTGTTAAATAACCAGTCAAGCCAAGCATCTGGATCAACCAAGGGTGATGGGAGAGGGACTCATTCTGACATTTGGAGCTCACGGATAAGAGATAAGGTATTTTGTTTGAAGATTGCCTTAATCTACAAAGTTTATACTTTGATCCCGATTTGTCAGTATTCAATCATGATTTTCATATCTTGTCAATATGAATATCGTTTTCTTCTCTAATCACAGTGTTCTTGTACTTTGTGCAGTATGGGTTGAACACTGTGAACCAGAATGCATCAGCAAGTACGAAATCCAAGCAGTGAAGTTAGTTGAATGTTTTCCATCTCACAGATCAGGAAAATCGATTGGCAACTGCCTCTAATTTCCATTGATACTAAAATGTATATCAATTTTCCTTTGCTTCAATCCTTTTCTCTTCTCTTTTCTAAATGTTGTGTTGGAGACAAAGTTGGGGTTTATGTATGTATATAACTCTTCAAAAGTGTGGTTGCTTGTTGCCAGCTTTTGCCTTGTATCAACTGAGCATGTTTCTGGTAAGATGCTAATGTTATTAATTGTAAAAGTAAAAAGCTTGTGATTCATATACATCGTGAGTACTAAGATAAAACAAAACAAGAAAACATGACATTTATACCATGCATGCTATTGTAGGTGATAGATTCTCTTTGTCGTCCCTTTCATTTTCATTTTTTCCCGTGAGCCTGTGGATTCGTTCAGCTGTCAAGAAGTGCATGCCGATAAGATTATGGTGTTATTATTTTATTCACGAGATATCTTTTGCCTGTCCTCACTATAACTAGTACTGTTACTACTACCTGTCCAGTACCAGTACCATGTGGTCACCATTCTTCTTCTTATTTTTCGTTCATAATTAAGAAATGCCACCAAGTTCTTTGATTCTTTTTTATATTTTTTATTATTATTATATGATTGGTTGGAATTTGAAAAGGTAATACAGAAAAAATCGACTTCAATGATCATATGATTATGTGGAGGATGATTTGGTTCTTAGTTTGTAAAGAACCTGCAATTCTCTCTCTCCTTTCCTCTCTCATACCAAAATCTTTGTCTCTTTCATCATGCTCTTTGGTAGGAGAAGAACTTACATGTAACGGGGCACTAACTCTGTGGACTGCCGCGGTTGGCCGCAACAAACTTATTATTGCACTTTGATTTCTGACTTGTGAGGAATGAACATCATTTGTCTGCCAGCTAGAAATGTTCCTTTCTAATTTACCTATTTGATACATGACATGTTCTGTTGGTAATCATTTGTCTGGTCACAATCTGAAATGTGTACATAGAAATTGAACTATTTTCCCTTGAGGGCTCAGTTGAAATATTTTCTATGTTTAACCACCACAACATTAAATTAAACCCACAGATAAAAGAAAATTTGGTTGGTCTTAAAAACAAGTTCCAACCACACTAAGACAAATTTGATCACTTATTATTATTTCATTATTTAATTTAGGAGGTTGCCAATGCTTTATTTTGAAGCATACAGAATTGCACCGACCGACAATGGGGTCAAATAAGTGGTGTATTTTACCCTTTTACCCTCATGTACGTTAACTATAAATTATAGAGCCGAAAGGAGAATCTTGCCATAAAATATATAAACCATATAATATGACAACAAAATCATAGCCTTATCACCTCTTAGACAATAGAGTGTAACCTAGTGAAAAAGGGCATTGACTTGCCGATCAGAGATCTCATGTTCGAATCCCCAATTACAATAATTGTGTGTGCAAAATCCCCTTCTCCTATAGTTTAGACTATCGCTTATACTTTAAAAAACAAAGTCTTGTCACCTCTTCACCGAAAGCTGTACGTAATTTTGAAGCAACAAATTAACACACAAGTCCTGCAATTCTTCTCAATTTGTATTGAAGTACACCACTTACAAACAACGAGAGAGATTTGAACGTGCGACAAAAGTCAGCTGCCAAATAATATTGTACACTTGTATATAAACAGAGTGGTCTCAAATTACGAAATAATGATTAACTGAAACATCTGCGGCATTAAACAATTAAAGGTCGGTTAGGGCCACCACCATTGTTGAAAATCACATACACAAAATAATAGAGAGAGCGAGAGAGAGAGAGAGAGAGAGAGAGAGAGTTACAGTAAAATTTAAAATGGAAAATTAATAAAAAGTTCGGTCATGTCCTCTCTGTCAAATCAACCACAGCCTCCTCCACGAGCTCTTCCAGCAATTTCCCTTCTATCTCCTCCCCTAAATTATCAATTTCGAATCTCATATGTTCAGACCACCCTTTCCCCACAACCTCCTTCCTCACCACCCTGTCCACCACCAGGCTGTTGCTGTCCCCACCCTCCCCTGAAGCGCACCTCACCTCACTGGCAAACCATTCCCTCACTCGGCCCCACACACGGTCTGCCAATAGGGAAGAATCACCCTCTGAAAACCTGTCGTGGGCCCCGCTACATGACAGGGTTCTTGTGCCGCCGTCTGACCCATAACCAGTGATGTCCACCAAGGCTGCATTAACACAATCGAATACAAGCTTCCGGCTTGATCGCCATTGCCTTCTCTTAGCCTCATGCAGAGGCTCTTTGTCATTTAGGTTGGCATACTTGTCTCTCAGAGATGGGTCCAATGGACTTTCGAGCGAATGCCATCTAGTGAAAAACGAGTCACACTGCACCTCACCATGTAGGCCAGCTGCTGATAAAAGAGTCTGGACAATGACATGCCAGTCTTGTTCTTCTTCCTCAGCGGAAACTGAAGGGGATTTTAATAGATATGGTGTCGCAGTCTCTGCACAAGAATCATCCCATGACAGCGTCCGGGCAATTGATCCTATAGGTGGTGATTTGTCAATCAAGTTAGACTTGAGATGTCTTCCTGTTATTAACACACAAAAATCGTAAAATAAGACAATGATTAAGGGAATTACAAAAAGCCATAGAAAAATACAGAGAGAGAGGGGGGAGAGATACCTAGGTGGTCTGGCTTCAAATCCAAAGAGGACTCCTGAATTATATTGTCATCCTCTTCGAATGGTGGTTCTAGAACTGATATTGGACTTGGCTGATCAGGATTCTCGACAACATTTCCAGGCACCACAGGCCTTGTCAGACACAACCCTGCCTGCAAAATTTGGAGAAAAGAAAACAAATCAAATAAACCATTCATTAATGATAACTTAAATCCATGCAGTTGACAGCGCACATGACAATAAGACACTGAATAGCTCAGGTTTTAAGAACAATGATTATCTACAATGCATGCATTTTGCTCCATATAGCAAGAACAATCGTTTTATGGTTTTTCCATCACTCATTCCACTGTGCCAAGTATAATACAATGTTTGTTACCAAAATCACAAATATAGACATCAACATTCCAAATTTTATTGCTTAAAGGTTGCTGCAGATACAGATCAAACAAAATACATCCTACCAAACTATCTCTTCTGATTTTTTTTATTTTTTATTTTTGTTTTTGAGGGCAAGTTGCAACTAATAAAGAGAGCAAGCATTAATATCAGACAAAGAAGAAAACTGAACTACCTCCGGTGGAACTGTGCCTTGTCTTTGTCCCATATTTGTTACATCTGGAGATTCTTTTCCCGAATATCCAAATAAAGCAGGAGACAAACACCCTTCAAGGCCACCATCATTAGCACACTGAGATGCATCATCACTAATTATACCAGGAGGAACCAGAGAATTTGGTGGTTCAGCAAGGGCAGATTCATTTTCGTTGTTACATCGAGAAACATCAGATTTCCCTTTATTTGATTTCTTATTTCTGGAGAAAAATAAACTTGAGACTTTCCCTTTAAACGATGACTTCATGCTCTTTGCCTTAGTTAGCTCTTTAGGAACATCTGTCTTGCCAGCCTCGGGATCTGAAACTTGAACATTGACCCTGGCACCATATACTGTAGAAGATACAGGGACAGATTTTGACCTCAAAAGATTTCTGGGGGAATCATCCGCACCTTCTTCTTTACTAGAACCATTAATTAAGCATGAAACTGATTCCCTTGGTTCTTGTTCCTTCTGACTGCTCTCATCCTCATATCTTGCTGGCTTCTTTATCTCTGAAAGAGCAAGCATCTCACCCAATGTACTAGAGCTCCTCCGGGCATGCCTTTGTTCCTGAGGATTCCCATTTAATGCCATCATAGCCCATCTTTCAGAAAGTCGCTTCTTTGCCTCTCTACAAACAGATGACTCTGGAGAACATGACACACGGCTGAAGGAGGATGAAGAAAAAGGGCTGCCAAACCTGTTAATGTAATCCCATGAATGCCTAGAAGATGGTGACATAGCTTCTGAATCACTGAGATTTCCATTTGCATATTCATTTTCTGATTTGTTAAATGAACTCTCATCACCGGTATAACCATTGGAAAAGACGGAGGAAATCAAAGTTTCATCCCTCCGATGACCCATCAAATTATCACGCATCTTCTGTGTGATCTCCTTTGCAACTTCTCTTGATTCTCGCTCCTCATCATCTTCATGTTCCTCATAGAAGTTTTCACCATGTAATATTGTTGGTGCTGACGTAGGTGAAGAAACCACAGCCTTAACATCAGGAGTCTTCCCAGGGCTAGGCCTCAATACCACTATCCGAGTTGGTTGAACAGGATAGTCATCAACTTTCTGATCAGAAATAGGTGAGTATCCATGGTGGCTTTTGTCCCATGCAGCTGCTTGACCGACCTGAACTGATTTCTTTGTGTGTTCATCGCTCTTGTCCCCTGATCCTGATAATTTGTCATTAGAAACCATCTTTGAAGGTCTGAGAACAGTGATCCGCTTTGTCTCGGTAGGTTGAGGAGGAATAGATTGTAATTCATTTAGATGCTGAGAAAACAGGGAATTAGGTTCTTGCAGAAACTTGAGGAACAAATCTCTATTGGAACTTAATACTTCAAGTGCATCTTGGAATTCCTTGGATTGGCGAAGCCTCTCATCCGTGGCCAAGCGTTTTGCTTCCATGAACTTCTGACGAACAAGAGCCATCTTCTTCTCATTAACTTTTTCATTATACCCTCCCTTCTGCGGTGATTTATTTCTTCCATAATTTGTCTTCTGAGGTTGCTGCCAGACTTCATAAACATCTTTGTAATCATTTTTCTTTGAACACTGATGAAATTCACGAAGCATTCCCTTGTCCAAAAACCCATCTTGCTGCCAACATCCCAATGGCATGCCGGAATGATTAGTACATTGTGAGCATCTTTGTGAAACTGAATCAGGCTGCTCTCGTGGGAGAGAATCAAGCCCCATCAACTTGGCAACCACATTGGGTGGATTCTTCTTAGACTCCACTTCTTTTGACATTTCTTGGTCTAAAAGCATCTTTATGGGTGTTCCACATACTTTATTGTTTGAAGAACTTCTTCTCAACTCAGACACAATCTGAATACCACATACAAATGTAACACAAATCAGGAAACTGCAGTAGACTACGATCCAATAAGAAACAAAAGACAACTTTGCATTTAAATTGTTTCTCCAGTGGGCACAAATTTCATTAGTCAGAGCAAAATCCTGCAAAACTCACCAGTTTATCATCTATTTGATCTCCAAATGGGGGAGGACCCAACATTGTTGCCACATCTGATTGACTCCTTGAGAGTGAAGAGCCTATCAAAACTGATGGATCAGTGCTATATTTGACAAGCATGACTACCAATTGCATAAGAGAAGCAAGTTGCAAAAAGATGACTAAAATTACAAAGAAATTTGAAAACAGGAATTTGACAATTGAAATTTGAAAACCTCAATCAAGCAAGCAATGCTAATTATTTTCTAACTTTTGTCTGATGGGACATAATAGTAACTTATTATAGTATTTCAAAATCTACTCACATAGGGCAATAGGGGGAAGAGAAGTAACTACCTATCCTAGAATGCAAGAATACAGTCAACATCAAGCGAAGGATCATCTTAATTTTTGAACTTGATCCACAAAGAATTAGAATATGCCACTGATTACAGATAAATAAAAGATTATATCAAAGGAAATTACCATCAGGGTGGGGTTTGTCGGTGAGCAGCTTGTTTCCAGAAACCCCAGTACTCAAATCAAAGAGGTTCACCATTCTTCCCAAGCATCCTGGGAAAGGCTTGTCTGTGTTGTGAGCTTTACTGATCTGCATCCCGTTCATTTGAACCCCTGCGTGATCACATACTTCAGTAGATTAATCCCAATATGCAATCACTTTTTGTTTCATTTGTTGAAGGACTAAAGTCAAAGAATTCCAAGAAAAATAAACAAAGGCGTTGAACAACAGGGCAGCTTCCAACAAAACTAAAAGAAAAGGGGCAAAAAACTAATTTCAAGGACAAAATTCAACATGATTAAAAATTATGGATAGAAAATCAATATCTTTCCCTTTCAATCAAAACCAACTCAAATAAACCTTAGTAGGAAAGCTGCCGGCTTGACGCTTAAATCTCAATTGGGAAAGCAAGCCAATTTATCAAAAACAGTTGAAGACCCAGATATTTTTGGGGAAGAAGCTGCAAGTCCCAGAGAGAGAGAGAGAGAGAGAGAGAGAGAGAGAGAGAGAGAGAGAGAGCTGATTTTCCAAAGAGTAAAAGAAGAAGGGCACCGGTATAAGAGAGAATAGAGACAAATCGAATGTTGTGCAAGGTGAAAATTCAGCTCATTCGTTGAAATATCACAATCAATTTATGCGTCGCGTCACTGCAGAACAAACTCCTCCCAAACACATATTATTCAAAAACCAACACCGATCACACTCTACTATACAAGCTCCCGCACCCCCAAAAAAGCCAAAAACAAAAATCCAAAAAGTAACGATTTTTCTAAGATCAAAAAATAACCAAAAGTGAACTAATTAAAACGAAATCATTGAGCTAAATTTAAACAAAAAGCGAGAATATTATTATGTTTGGGAAAGCTGCTACGTGAACAGCTTTAGCTAAGCAGAAAAGTAAATCCAGCGAGAGAAGGAATTAGATTCGCTTATCAGTAGAGCTTAAGAGCTTCGATAAGTGCGAGATCGGAGAAAAAGTGAGAGAGAGACCAAAAAGGCAACCCCGAAACAAAAAGCTACTGTGAAATCTAAAGGACGACTCGGCCACAATCTCTGACACTGCTCCAAGCAGCATTCAGAGAGACAGAGAGTAAGAGAGAGATTGGGACCTAGTGACCGGCGAGGTGCTCGTAGACTGTCATGCCGGCGATAATGTGGGCGGAGATTCGACCGGAGAAGCTATCGGCATCTGATGCGGCGACTAGATCGGCGGCTCCGAGTCTGTGTGCGCTTGTGGCGTGGTTTTGGCTTCTCTTTGCTTCTGCTAAGCTGCTGCTTCTCTCTCTTCCACCGACTTTCTCTGTGTGTGTCTCGGACTTGAAAATGGTTTGTTTAATTACGATTGATTTATGAGGTTCGATTACGGAGAGAGAGAGCGCAACCAGATGATAACGATAGACAGAGAGATGAGAGAGAGGGAGCAAAAACGAAAGGAAAGGGAAAGTGGAGGATAATCAGGACAATAATAATATTTTTACATGAAGGTATGGGTTTTTATACTTATGCCCTTTCAGTTTGGGATATTTACAGTTGTGGGCTATTCGTTAGGGATTCTGATACGATTGTGCGCCAAACTTATTGGGTTTGCTATCACCCATGCCACGGCCCCTATGTGAAAGTGAAATTTCATCCGATTATCTTATTTCCGTTTTTAATAATTCAATTTATTCTAATTTTAAATGGAGCTCGGAGATGTTATTTGCACTCTAAAAATAAATTTACAACTCATACATGAGATGAGATGGATAAATAAATATGCAAAATTGAGAGATGTTACGTGCCTTTTAAATTAAATTCACAATTTTATATGAGGTGTATCGTGAAGCGCATGAATCTTAATTTGTAACATAAATACTAATTTTTCTATTTTCATTGTGTCTTAACAATTTCATATTCTTTAATAATATTTATAGTTTTCATGTACAAATAACATTGTTATCTACCATGCCAGCCAAAAAAGAAAATAGATGGATAAACTACACTTATTAGTTTAAATCACATTTTTATCATTTATAAAGGACCCACTAGTGTGGTGGTTTTAAGTAATTATTCATTCGAGTAAGGTTTTAGGTTCGAGTCCTAACATATGTGTTGTATGTGTGAATTTAATATATTATTACCCTTCTCATTCTCAATAAGAAAGGTCCTCAAAAACAATTTTATCATTTATGAATAAAATAAATACAACTAACGATCATGCCCATGCATGTTTTTTTATATTTTTTTTTATCGCATAATTAGCACAACCCTAATGACTAAATGTCCATAGCTACATAATAGATAAATTATTCGTAGATATATAATAAAAGAAATGGAGTAGACAATTTTATAATGCATGAAATGCCATACATTTTGAAGTTGTTTAATCATACAATTAACTTTTTCCTACTTGTGTAAGATAAGAAGATTCTTTATATATTTTTGTTGTCTAATTAGAATGGCTAGGGTAGAAAAGATGCACCCCTCTAATATCTATATATATATATATAAAATTAAAAGCAAGTTACCAAATAAATAAACGTTTAGGAAGGCGCCCAATTGGTCTAATTAAACAATAAGTACAATTGTCTTGATGTGGTATTAACATACGATAAGAGACTTTTTATACTAAATAATAAATTGTTGTTTGTTCTCTTAACAACTGAGCCATTTACAATAATGAATAGGTTGTTTCTAGCTTTTTATTATTAAAATGTAACATAAATTTTGTTGTATACAACTAGAAGTCCTCTCTTTTATCATCTAGTTCCTCAAGCGCCGTGAACTCGAGTTGGATTTAAGCACGATACACTTTTCAGTTATTGAGATAACCCAACTACTCTTTATAAGCGATATGATTTTGTATTTTTATGAGAAACTCTAAGTAGTCCGCACATCACGCGTAACAAATCCTTATTAGGTAATGTTGTGAACGTGAAAGTAAACTGCTTTTGTCATATCATCATGTGTGTTAGGTTTCAAAGGCAGGTGAAAAAAGTTAAAATTTTTTGTAGCAAATGGAATAGTATAGGGTAAAATAAATCATGGGGCAATGTAGCTTGGTTTTAGGAACATGAAATCTCAACGGTAAAATCATTGACATTGACAATGGAGACAATAATAATATTCAACATGGCTACTACAAAGAAGGACCTACTACCAACCACTACGAACTTGCAGGACAAGAGATATTCTTTGCTCATAATTAAAAAGAGTACGTAGGGCTCGTTTGGGAATGCTTCTCTAGGAAGTACTTCTGCTCATAAGCGCTTCTAACAAAAGCGCTTTTATTATAAAAATCTTGAATTTTCATAAAAAATTCAAATGCTTCGTGGAAAAGCACTTGGGAGTGCTTCCTGAAGAAGCACATAGCAGGTGCTTCTCCAAGAAGCGCTTCTATGACCCAAAAGCGCTTCTAAATTTTTCTGCCAAACGTTGTCAGAAGTGCTTTTAGTTATTAGAAAGCGCTTTTGGCCCTTTCAGAAGCACTCCCAAACAGGCCCGGCGACACCATTGGTGGTGGAGGAGCGTTCAAATTTTTATAAAATAAGATTATAAGAGGCTCATAAGAAATCTAATGTACTTTCTATAGTCTGTGAGAATGCAAATAGGGGAAAATGTCATATATTGGAAAGTTAGAAAATTTTGCAAGGGCTTAAAAGTAGTTGGGTTACTCTACACATTGCTAATTGGTTTTAAAGTGGAACATGAACTTACTTCATGGTATTAGAGCTGAGGTTGCTCACGTGTGAAAGCCCAACAGCCACACATGCTCCATGTCACCTATGGTGAAAATGTTCCACATTGAAAAATTATAAAACCTTGCAAGGGCTTATCAGAAGTTGGGCTACTCCCCCAATGTCAATTATTTTGGGATGAAATCTCAACTTCATTCATAGTTTTGTGGTCTTTATCATATTTATTTTGCAACCCCAATTCTTACAGTATTTCATGTATATTATTTTTGTTTTCAAAATCCCACTTTTTGGGTCCTAATTATGTGAGAAAAAGATATTCTTAATAGTTGTTTTTAAATATTTATTTTTTGTCAGATATGCATATAACTTATAAGCGTGTGCATAAGCTTAGAGTGGTCAGTTAACTAAATCCGGCAGCAAATCTGGGAGGGGACGCAAATCTTTAGTCTTTTTGTCAATGGTGAAGCATATAGGGCGCACATGCATATGACAATGACCCCCTCTTTTTGTTTCCATTGGTCAAGTCCCCCAATTAAAGATTATGGCAGATTTAGGAGGTTAATTGATCTTTTTATCATTATGAAAGTGATGGATTAAACCAATTAACCCATTTTGACTGAGAGGTAGAGTGTCACCTCCATAGAGCTCTTTCACATTTGTCACCATTCACTATGCAATTCACCTGCAAAATGTATAGAATGGAGAGGGGAAATTGTTGCATACAAACAATTTTTTCGTTGATCGATTACGTAAATAGTATTTGAAAAATTGTAGATAATATTGGTCAATCAAAAGATGAAATTCTAATTAGTCGAGAGTTCAGTTGGTTGAGCTCTTCTATCTCCATCTAGGTATATGAAGAATCAAAATCTCCGAACACTCAATGAATATTTGTGTAAATTCTCATTTCCCAATCGCTTGTTACTAAAAAATATTTAGTCGGTAATGAAGTTACTAATCATCACGGGCAGGTTGTACCACCAATCCTTCCAAGTGAATAATCCTTACTTTTTATTTTAAGTACATAGAGAGGGTTGTTTCATACACAGCTAAAAAACTCATGTGATGCGAAAGAATTTTCTTCACGAGGATATGATGGTAAAATCGTTTAAACGGACCCAGCTAGATCTAGAAGAGAGAGGAGCGCGTGGCGAATAGCGACTCCTCCAACGAAGAATGTGAACAAAATGAATGCGAGGGATACGACTAATGACGTCAGCAGACAAAGTGGGGACAGATGATGTGGCGAAGTGGGACCACAGAGTTCATTCATGCTGACGAACCGGCTCTTTAAAAAATAAATAAATAATGGTTAATCACAAAATTAATGATGAATTACAAGACCAAGATCAGGGTTTCAATTTAAAGTATAAATCTGATAACATTTCACTTTCACCGAAAATTTCTCTTTCCCTCTCTCTCAAGTATGGGAATGACTAAATGCACTAGAGCATCTCAAAGGGAAGAGACGAAAGAGTAGGCAAATCTCATTTGCCCTGTTACATCAGCATTTTCATGCTCAAGGGAAGAGGCAAAAGGGTAGGTAAGTTGACTAGAGCGGATATGCTCCCCCCAACCCTGCACCTGAATTCGAATCCCCCTCCCTACTATAGTTTAGATTAAAGTATAATATCACTTATATAAAATAAAAAATGATAATGACTTAAAATTAGATGCTAAATTTAGGGACCTAATTAGGGGCCCTCCTCCAACAACGTCATTAATTTAACTTTTGTGATCGTTTTCATTTTGATTTATCATATCTAATCTACCCAAGCAGGAAAGGTCATGAAAAAACACTTGTACTCAATTTCAATTCAACTACTTTGATTGAAATATATCATTGCAACCAAATCTCATAATTGCATAATATCACATAAATTCCACTTTGACAATCTGGTGCAGCAAAATTCAAACGCAAAAGAGCACGCAATACATAAAATTAACTCTCATTTTGAACCTTTTTTTTCCCTTCCCTATATGAGTTTGTTAATGCAATCATGTTGGGATGAAAGTAGATTATATCAAATTTTAATTACCATATGAATTTACTTCACTGTAAAAAGATATCGACATCACTATCATCAAAATTTACCTCTCTTTCACTTCTATCCCAGCTTGAGTCGTCAAGCAGCCAGGGCCATGCCTTCTCTGTGTCCAATGGTACCTGGGGGCAAAAGGCTGAGCTCTCATGGATGCTAACATTATCTTCAACGAAATGAGCAAGGCTTCTTGCCTGACTGGAGTCATCTAGGATTCTTCCGTACTTATTGTCGTCGTAAGTAAGAAGGCGGGAAGATATGTCTTCATGTTCTGGAAATTGTAGAGCATGAAAAGTTGATGAATAATACTCTCTCCAGGAACCACTGAATGGAAGGAGAGATTCTGTATTAGGAAGATAGTGCCCTTCATGGATGATCTTGCTCCTAAACCAATGGTCATTTTGGACAGAAAATATGGTGCTGCCAACCTCACAGGCTGTGTCCTCAATGCAGTCTTCAGTCGGATTAATAAAGTTCGTTATACACGACAAGGTTAAGGGAATTTGGGGGAAACCTGATCGTATATCGTCGTTGCCTTCGAGACAATGTCTTAGAACTTCATGGTTTTGATAACTGGCTAAGGATGCAGATCTGTGTTCAGCTCCATATCTTGATAAGTCGGATGAGTTTCTATCTTCTTTCGTGCTGCCAAAATCCCAACCCAGCATAGGAACGCTTAGCTCTCTTTTGATCAAATATTCATTCGGCTGCCAGAATGCATCCATCTCTTTGACATGTCCAGATGTCACCAATCCATATTCTTTGAATGGAAGAACAGATTCTGAGTCACTCTCAGTGCATGAAATTGCATTTCCTCCTAGTAATTCAGACTCAGGTTCCCATACTCTGTACTGAAGATGATTCTTGTAAACATAACTAGTTGGAGAATTGGAACAGAAAATGCTCTCTCTTGATCTCTTGGACCAACAAGACGGCATCATATCATGCAAGCAAGGGCCACAATCAAGTTCCATAAAGTTTCTAGTAGGTGACCATGGAAGTTCCTTGAAGTCAATATCTGACTCATAAGATGGAAGTGACATAGCCTTGCTATTGGTCTCTGCTTGCGTTAACTTTGGATCCTTCAATTTCTGGAAGAGCAGGTACTTTTTCATAGTAATTGAAAACCACAAAAACGTGTAGAACCAATGATCCACATAAAAAAGGTAATAGAGGATACATTGTTCTCATTGCACTTGGGGACCAGCCGACTAAGGAGCACAGAAACAAAATCGTACCTGAGAAAATATGATTGAATTCTCAATAAGATACATAAAGAAAGCAAAAGAACTTATTGATCATCATATGTCTAACCCCTTTGAGCAGAGTTCATCAATTTCAGGAAATGAAGTCTCTGCAACCCACTGACGTAGTTTCTGTCTCTTCCTATAAAAAACGTCTGCATGCCTGTTTTCAGTTTCTGTCTCTTCAAAATGGGTAAATCTTTTTCCTGAATGATTCAAATTAACTTAACAGTGTCAAGCCAAGATGCTTAAACATTCTTGATGTTTACCTAATCAGAACTGCATAACTAGTGATACTCATGAAGCAGATGGAGCAAATGGAAAGAAAGCAACAAGCTAGGCTTCATTGGGTCATGAAGTAGATGGAAAGAAATAAATTTTGGAAGGTTAATGTAAAGATTTTTCCAATTTATAAGATTCATATTTCCTCTCCCTCCATCTCCTTGGCCACCAAATAAGTATAATAAAGAATGTAGAGGTTTCTTGTACAAATTTCCTTTACCTTTATTTCTCAAGGAATTTTCATATTCCTCCACCATATCGTTCTGTTTTCTGTGTACACCCTCCAAGGTTGCACAAGCTCTCTCCATATTTGGCTCTGCACAAATGGAAGTTGCACTCGTAACTTCGATGTTAAAGTACACAGTTTTTGGCTTAACTTCACAATATAAGCATGCCCTAATTTTTCCATTAAAGCTGAAAGCAATCCAAATAGGCATATAGGACAGATTCCTGTCAAAATTATATTTAATAGAATGATTGCCACACCAGTTTCTGCAGTATGCATAACTACGCCTCTTTACATTGAAAACCTCAGTTTTTGATGCACTGCCAAGTCCAGGTGGTAGGAGAACGAATGAGCCAAACTTACCCGGTGTAGCATTTTTGTTTAGAAACGAAGACCTCACGTCCACTCTCTTATTCTGGACCATGTTGACCCTCTCTGCACAGCAGGCAATTCATCATAAACCAACTGAGCAAATGTAGATTGCTATAACACTATAATACACTATTTTCAGAGTTTAATAATTACCTCTGGAACAGTCCCTTGACTTGGAATTGTTTGTTTGGTAGGCCTCTTTATGCAGAGAATAAGAATGAGCTTTGTGGCTTGCGCCTTCCTTCAATTTCTTAAAGAAGGCGTACTCGGAAGTCTTGGCATTATCAGCTGATTTGATACATTTTGCATCAGATTATTAACATTTCAAACAGATTTTAATCACCCAAAATAATATATGACAAATTTGAGAACTTGAAAGGTGTAACATTTTGAAAAAAGTACCAAATTCACATCTTGGGGGTCTCTGATCTTCATTGTCAAGATTTGTAAATTTGACTCTTTCCTTGCAGCTGATATCTACAAGGAGATGAAATTTTTTAACAGGAGCATTCAAATTCAACTTCGACGCACTAAGAATCAAAATTTCAACATATTCAAAGCCAATTAGGCGACTAGTGCTAGGGTTTTGGGATCGACCTGCGGTTCTCGGGGTCGTTGTGACGGGGAATCGGGGATCGGAGCTCCGAATCCCATGAAACCCTCGATGTGATGGAATTCGGATCTGCAGTGGATCTTCGGGGTTAGGTTCGGAAGTCTTGCGTTTCATTGTGCCCTAACGTAGATTGAGAGGTCCGTGATCAGCATCATCAGCTAAAACCCTAGCTTCGTTTTCGTGTTTTGAAGAATTGAAACGTTTCGTTAGGCAATGGCGGTTGAAAATGGACCGAGGAGAGGTGGAAGAGGGGCATTTAGGCGCCAAAACGGCACGTGATAGGGCCTTTTAAATATCTGTATATTTTTGGCATTTCTTGACTATTGATGATCTTTTATTTTATTTTATTTTATCTTCAAAAATTAATAAAACATTACTTTTCTTTTTAGGAAAATAAAACATTTCTTAAGAAGGCAAGAATACATTTCTTCTTATGTCCCCTTTTCTTCCCAGTGTTTGTTTGAAATTCTTTTGAAAGTAGTAAAAGAAACACAAAATTAGTGACTATTCTGTGCAGTATTACAAATTTGAGTTCAAATATTATAAACGACACTTCCTACTTAATCATAACTATATTAGAAAACTTAAAATCTCAAATAAGAAATTGCATTCAAGTTTAAGAATCATATTTAGTTTTTTTATTTATAAAGTTTAGAATTGTATTTAGTTTTTTTTTGACAAAGTTTAGAATCATAATTAGTTTTTTGACAAAGTTTAGAATCGTATTTAATTATAAGGAAATATGAATAAATTCTGTTTTTTTTTATAATGAATGTATTTAAATTATTTTTTATACAAACAATATATTTTAAATAAAAATGTTAATTTGTTACAACTATTTCCAATAATTAATCAATTATGAAGTGGAATGCAATAAATAAATTCTTTACTTTTCTTAGAAAAGTTCAATTTCATTATTTAAAAGAATTTTCACGAGAAGAAAAGGGCAAAAATGAAAAGAAAAGAAAAGGTTGGTTTGGCCCACTCAGCAAGTACACAGGCAAGGATGACATGTAATCACATATTATCCAAACAAAAAGGATATGGTGCATAGGTGTCAGCACCCTAGTGGAGGCAACGATTTATCTCACGTTTGCAGGATCAGATAATTGTTTTCCAACAGAGAGCATAGAAATTCAGCACTCATTCATTCAAAGCCTCTCAATGTTTTGGTGGTCTTAATTATAGCCATTAACTTTTTAGTCTTTCACAGCCAGCAAGAGAGAGAGAGAGAGAGAGAGAGAGAGAGAGAGAGAGAGAGAGCATAGCAGACGCAGCACATAACTTAACACATATCATAGCAGCAGCACGCAGCACATAACTTAACACATATGGCTATGGCTAGCTGTGGCATGGCATCAGCTGCCTCAGGCTTTGTTGTGGCACCAAATGTTGCAGCAGCCAACAACACAGGCTCTGCTTCCAGCAGAAGTAGCATGTTGTTTTTCTCTTCAAAGCCCAACACCAACACCAGAAACAATGCCAGGTTTGTGATAAGGGCAACTGATGAAGCAGCTGCTGCCCCACCAGCAGCCACCAAGGAAGCACCAGAAGGGGCAGCTGCTCCTAAACCTAAGCCACCTCCAATTGGACCCAAGAGAGGCACCAAGGTTAGTTCATGTTAAAAAATAGAATTCTTTTTCAAAATATTATTTGAGTGAATTGTCAATAGTTTTGTAGTTGGAATTGCTGAATCTGAATTGAGAAACCAAATTAAACTCAGAAAAATGAAAATAATTAGAAACCAGGACAAGCATGAGTTAATTTGTGTGTCCACTGAGATATGATAATATGTTATAGTGGCCAGAAACATATGTTCTTTTCTACAATGAAATGGTCCTGTTTAGTTTTAGTTGCATAAACAGAAATTTCAGAGGACCCCAAATGAAAATATAAAGCTTCTAAATTGTTTGGTTTGTTTGGGAATTGCTGAATTGGCAAACCAAATTAAACCCAGAATAAAAACTAACAGAAGGATCAGTTGATAAGTTCTAGTGGCCAGAAATATATGTGTTCTTCAGTGCAATAGTCTATGGAGATATTGAGTCACTGACTAGTTTGAATCTTTCACTGACTTTACAGGTGAAGATTCTTAGGAGGGAGTCCTACTGGTTCAAAGGCATTGGATCTGTTGTAGCTGTGGATCAGGTCTGACTTCTGTCACTTCTCACTCTCAATTAAGACTGACAAGAAATGAGAAAAGGGTCTGCTTAAGTTGTTAATCTGTTCGGTTAATTTCATTTTACAGGATCCCAACACCCGTTACCCAGTGGTCGTTCGATTCAACAAAGTTAACTATGCCAATGTGTCCACAAATAACTATGCTTTGGACGAGATTGAAGAAGTTAAATGACTTTTTAGTAGCATTGTAAATTGTAATCTTAATTCTCCTTCTATCAGTTTCTTCCTTGTTTGTGCCTTTATTGTGTATCCATACTCTGTGATTTCTTCCACCTTTTCTTAGTTAAGTTTCAATCACTGTTTGCCAAAAGTCCAAATTGATATTATTCATAGAGTATATAACATATATATTGTTCTTTCTAGCTTTTTCTTCAAAACAAGCAGGTTGAAAGTAGCTCAAACCAACTCATTCAAATCAAGGTGACTGTTAACTCCAAAAGAAAAAAAAAAAATGAAAGCCGACTCAGAAAATGGCAATTCAACATTCACAAGGCTTGATGTATAGATTAGTTTAAGTTGTTTTTGGACAAAACAACTCTTTTCTCTGTCAACTGTCCTCAAATCCCCCATTTTGGTTGCTTCCTTAACATTGCATGCATTTATAGCAGGACCTGTTAGCCACATAGAAGCCGAAAACAATTCCAAACAGGATTTTCCAGTTCCCCATAGACAACTCTGGCATTAGGAAGTTTTATCAAAACATATAAGTGCATTCCTAAACCCAACTCTGACATTTCAAGTTATCAACAAATTAAGTTTCAGAATCTGTAAACCCTTGTTGGCACCAGAAAGTATGCTTTACTTGTTTGTTCGAAACGAAAAACCATGTAGTTAAGCTCCCAATAATGCATGGGAGTTGGCAGAGAACCCAAAAGATAAATATGCCTTCCTTTTCTGAGAAGATAGATAGCAAATTGCAGAGTCATGACAAGTGATGCCATGAAACCATACAAATCCCACTGCTTTTTTCAAAAGGCATAAGGAAAACAGAATTTCATTTCTAAGGAATACCTGACCACATAACAAAGAAAATAGAAGTATATATTAGAAATAACCTATCACATTACAAGATTTCAAGAAATCCAGAACTAGAAACTAACCTATACAAACACAAAATATTTTCTTAAACTCTTCCATCAAACCCATCAAGAAGACCAGACCACATTCCCTTCACAGGTGGTAACTGTGCAACAAAAGCATTCCAAGGCGGGTAACCAATGCCACTGCCACGAACACGACCATCCAGGCGAAGAGATATATACCTGCAGACAAACAAAAAGATGCACAATTTCTCAAGAAGCGATCTTATGCTAATATTCCCAAGAACATAGACTGATTGTTGAGTAAAGGAGTTCACGAATTCAAGCCCAAATCACCTAATAAACTATATGCTTCAAACTCAATATGATAAACTATATGCTTCAAACTCAAAAAGGAAAATAGGGAAAGTATTGTCAATGGCAAGAGCGAGCATAAGGCACTTGTAGACTCAAAATCCAATGATCTTTGAACTTTGATTAGTGTAATTAAAGACAGAAGTAAGCCTGGAGAAAACACTTACACAGGAGAGTCAGAGGAGACGCCTGCCAGCTTCTTTTGCTCATCTAACCACCTACCATTTACAAGGAAAAATAAAAGTGCGAAGATGCACAATTTCTCAAGACGCGATCTTATGCTAATATTCCCAAGAACATAGACTGATTGTTGAGTAAAGGAGTTCACGAATTCAAGCCCAAATCACCAAATAAACTATATGCTTCAAACTCAATATGATAAACTATATGCTTCAAACTCAAAAAGGAAAATAGGGAAAGTCTTGTCAATGGCAAGAGCGAGCATAAGTCTCTTGTAGACTCAAAATCCAATGATCTTTGAACTTTGATTAGTGTATTTAAAGACAGAAATAAGCCTGGAGAAAACACTTACACAGGAGATTCAGAGGAGACGCCTGCCAGCTTCTTTTGCTCATCTAACCACCTACCATTTACAAGGAAAAATAAAAGTGCGTGAAGAAAGAGTAAGAACAACTTAAAGTTGAACAAGTTTATATTGTTTTGAACATGGTTTACTTACTTGGTCCATTCAGGAATATAAATTGGTGTCAGCTGCCATAGTCTTTTCCTCTTTGCAGTAATCTCCTTAGTCTCTTCACTTTCTTCAAACTCAAAACTAGGTAAGTTTCCATCTGTAGGAAAGGGCACCACGAGCACCCCTCGTTCCACAAGCCTTTCAGTGTAGGGTTCACTTTGATTAAAAGCTTCTGTGATGACTGATGCAGGGCCTGCACATATTACAAGCCGAGCAATCCCTCTCAAAGAGCTAAGAGGAATGACCTTCTTTTCATCAACCCGGAGCTTAAGATTCGAAAGGTTTTCCTCTCTTGAGAGCCTAGCAATCTGTGCATTCTTGGCCTTGTTCTCTCTCAAATACAAGAATGCAAAGAGAGACACTGCTCCAAGGTCTATCCCAAGACCCTTCACAATTTCAGGGGCATCAAGTGCTCTTGATGGGTTTGTTAGTGCTGCAATTAACTGTGTGGTTGCTATGAGTCCTCCTAAACCACCACTTGCTATGAAAGCAAGATAGAAAAACATCCGAACGGAGCGAAAGGGAGTGAGAACTTCACTCCTAATCCGGGCTGTGGAACTGTGAAGCAAACAAAACTATGATTACAAGGAAGCTTGATGTGTAAAACATAAGCTCATACAGCATAAGGCATTAGAAGGCAAAGAACCCAAGTCAGCAAAGATGCCGAAAATTCAAAACAACCCCATTCCCTAGTCTATCTACTTCATTTTAGAACCAGTTCCATGAATGACAGAAATAGGTAGAATTGCTGTGGAACTGTGAAGCAAACAAAACTATGATTACAAGGAAGCCTGATGTGTAAAACATAAGCTCATACAGCATAAGGCATTAGAAGGCAAAGAACCCAAGTCAGCAAAGATGCTGAAAATTCAAAACAACCCCATTCCCTAGTCTATCTACTTCATTTTAGAACCAGTTCCATGAATGACAGAAATAGGTAGAATTAGCCCAGAAATGAGAAGTAAAAATTGATACCAATAATCACTAGAGAAATAAGTTGTTACAGTTAAATTGCAACACTATGGCACAACCACCAATCAAAGCCTTTTTTGTTGTTGTCATTTTGTCATATCCAAATCCAATTATCCAAGAAAACATTAAGATATGGTGGAGCTTAATTCTATCATATTGAACAATTAATCATTCTCAAAATACTGGAAAAGAGATAAACTGAATGTTGAAATACATGGAAGCGAAAACGACAAAGGTGAAGACCTGGTTTCCGTAGAAGAAGTTTGCTTATCAGTTGCAAAGCAAATGATGGTTGAAGACTTGTGCTTTGAGGTCTGCAGTGTGAGAAATGGTGCATTGGTACATGAGAATGACCAGAGGGTCGTTCTGATACCACTACTGAGTTTGTAACCAGGATGGTTTGGAGGTTTGAGAATGTAGAAGGGACCGTTTGCCACAGAAGCCATGGCCACTGCTTGAACTCAGCCTTTTTTTGCTGCTTGTGACAGTTTTCTACTGTTTTCTTGGGAGGCCATATTTGGATGATCACAATACTGCCACCTCCTCCCACAACCCAAGTGGTAAATACCAGCCCTTCTTATTTCTTTCCTTTTTGTTTGTTTGTTGAGAAAAAAAAAAAAGCACTTCTCTATTGGTTGTAAACGTCACCGTTTTCCAGCATGAGCTTATCACCACATGTTTCTAGCTAGAAGTAAAGAGCTTCTCCATAGCTAGAACATGGAGTATTTTATAAATCCATAACTCAATCAGACCATACAAAACTGAGGAAAACATGAGCATCCCATTATGAATTATATAGTGCAAGAACAATTACTGTAACAAGAAATCTACTAATAAGCAATTTTATGTTGTCCTTGAAGCAATAAGCATCTCCTTCTTCTGCTTGTAGTACACAGACATTTGATCATGATTAGGGAGGTTCTGTTTGATTGCTGGGTTTTCCTTAAAGTTGTTAATCCAATTACATAATCTAGGGAAGTCATTGGCATGCAGCACTTTGACACCAACCAGTTGCTCAATGATTCCAAAAGAGGAGGCTATAAATCCCAAGGCTAAGTCAGCCAATCCAATTTCATCTCCACCAAAGAACTTCTTCTCTCCTAGAGCTTGCTCTTCTAAGATCTTGAGTAGGTCTTTGACTTCTTTTGCAGCCTTCTCAAGTTCTTCTCCATCAGCCATAAAGAATGTAACAAATGGAAGGCCCTGCTTGATCGCACAAATTGAAAAGTTCCATTTGATTATTAATGAACGAAAAATGCTAATAATCTACGAAAGTAATACATATTATGTTGTCAAACTGTGAATTTGGATGATGTAAAAATATATAAAATCACCTTTTCGTCTATGAACTTCGTCCAAAAACGCGCTAAGGCTCTCTCGTGAGGGTCATCTGAAAGCAGGGGATTTTGGGGCCAAGTCTCATCAATGTACTCAAGGATCACAGAGGACTCAGCAATAGGTTTCCCATTATGAACAAGCACTGGGATCTTTTTGTGAACTGGGTTATATTGTAAAAGCAAATCACTCTTGTTAGCCAAGTCCTCTTCTATATATTCATATTTCACACCCTTGAGCTCCAGAGCCCATATCACTCTGTAACCATATGGACTAGGCCAAGCTCCAAACAGCTTCACTTCTTCCATTTCTTGTGGAATTGTTTGTGTTCTTCCTCAAGCCCTTGCCCCCATATATATTATGATTCTGGGGAAAAAAAAAAAAAAGCTTTGAAATTTCCTTTTGAATATTAAACGGGATATTTTTCTTCTTGGCCACCTTTTGACCAATTGACATGACTTTTCAAGTAGTTTTGAGTGTGGCCCAAGAACACCAATGGTGCTCTGCCTAGTGTAACTCCAATTTTGGATTATATACACGCATTTCCACTTGTCAATTTCTTGGCAAACAAAGAAAAGTATACGAAATGGCCATTCATTTTTTACATAAATTGACTTTACTTGCACAAAACAATGTCATTAATGCATAAGAAAAGCTATATTTTATTTTCCAATTTATCCTTATCCAAATTTTTTTTTTCTACAACTTTCTTGTCACCTTGTTAAACATTAACTAAGAAAAGAACATAAAAAGGCCGAAGAGCAACATTTGTTGCTTCAGCAGCAGATGCATATACAAAACACGCTAGTACCTGCTGGTGTAGGATTTGTTATATAATGGCATGCCGTAATGTTATATTAGTTGATGTACTGTTGTTTCTGTATTTTACTTAATCAATAATCACCAGGAAAAAAGAGCTCGATCAATTTTACATGTATTTTTCATGTCTCCACTTTCTGATTTTTTTTTCCCTTTCACTTACTGTTGACCTTCCCGGCCTTTTACTCGAGCACCGTCATTGTAATCGTCCATTTAAATATATCAATACTTACTAGAGAGATACATCAGATAATATAGAAAATCTTAATCCTTAGAACAAATCGGAGGAAAGTTATCAAACTTATAAGTCGCGTAATATATTATATGAATAATAATGAAAAGTCACCCACCCTAAAGAAGTTCTGAAAATGACAGGATTTGAAGACTAAGTAGTTAATTTATATGAATTATTATTACTTGGTCAAACAAGACGGCAAATTATAATTAGTAATCTCCACCTAACCTCGACTGAGAGCCCAAGCAGTTTGAAACTTTGAACTGCACTCAATCAGGTATATACCTATATATATATACCCACCAGAGTAAGAAGATGAACACAAACTAGACGAATATGGAGGAAGTAAAGGTACTAGGGTTCTGGACAAGTCCATATCCTTACAGGGTTATATGGGCTCTGAGACTCAAGGGTGTCAAATATGAATATATAGAAGACGACATATACAATAAGAGTGATTTGCTTCTCCGGAGTAACCCAGTGCATAAGATGGTTCCAGTGTTTTTTCATGGTGGAAAAATAATTGCAGAGTCCACTGTTATTCTTGAGTACATCGAAGAGACGTGGCCTCAGAACCCTCTGCTACCAAATGACCCTTATGCAAGGGCCATGGCTCGGTTTTGGACTAAGTTCGGAGATGACAAGGTAATCAAATTTCCCTAATCTTTTGGCTTGTTCTCCTAGATTCATATGAAATGTTACCTTTTCACTGACTGGTTCTTTTGTGTAAGTTAGAGGCCAAACTTTTTTG